GCAAAAAAGTGTTTTTCGTATTGAATTGCAACAAAGAAATAATTGATATTTTATGCCATTAAACGGAAAATAATAAAAGGTTTTTCAACTTTGGTATAATATATTTTTTTGGACAATCTTGCATTGAGCTACCATTTATTGATTACTCTGAAGCAACTGTTACTACCAACAAATCCTTATTTTGGCTGCTCGTATTTATTAGTTAAGTGTTATTTAACGTTTGTAGTTAAATAGTTACTCAAATATAGATTTCCAACATCGTATTTGGCATATACACTATATAAAATCGATATCTCATGCCAGCTCTACAGCTTAAGTCCTCTATCCCCAATCTGACTGCGTTGTGATTGGGGTTTTATGAAATCAATCGAGCTCGATTGTGTGATTTGACATATGAAAGAGCATAAGAACGAAGCCTGAGACTTACTGAAAGAGGACTTACAATCAAGTTATTAATCTGTGCCTCGATTTCATAATGCGCTTTTCGGATTAGCAGCAATTAAACAAATGCTGTGTTAATTGTGTCACGGTATTACATCATAGGTGCATGTATGCATCGGATATGAATATGTAATTGGAATTTGCGCAATAACATTTCAATGTCTTATACGTTATTGAAAATTGTGGTCGTGCTTTCATGTTCGCCTTGCAATTAAGTTCAAGCTGCCAGGCTGTGCTGGCATTTGACATTTGACAACAATCCCACCCACTCACATATGTAAAAGCACACGCACGCACACACACACACACTCGCAGGGCGAGAGAGAGCACAGTTGCTAAGCCACAGGCACCGGGTTGGCAATATTAGCGGTGATATGACAAACAGCGAAGTGGAAACCATCGCAAAGCAAACACAAAGTGGCCCGTTTGTGCAGCACAAGAGCAACAACAAACATAACCACTCAGAAAGCAGTTACACCTAGACATGAGCAGCTGCCAGATACCCCTCTTTTCCGCTGGCACACTTTGCTCTTGTCCGACCACAACTGAACCCAAACATGACTTTCGATTTACACTTTCATCTGCGAACTTGTGATTCGGATTCGATTTCGTTAAGGTCTGATTCTTGACTGCTGAACCCTGTTGACCTGTCTGATTTACTTAGCAGAGAGCTTAACAGAAAACAGATTGCATTTGCTTAAAAATAATATCTTATTGTTTATCTATATAAATAATATTATTAAGCTATATTTCAATAACTTAAAAATGTAAATTCCTTACATTATTCGATGCCTCTGATTTACACGGTATCAGCTCGCACCTAATCCGCTCGCACCATAATCTCTGCCGACATATGTCGCCGCCAATGAGCATTATGCGCTTTTGTGGGTTTTTAAGTTTAATTAGTGAGCGTTCCTTGGCTGCTTGGCTGCTCGGCAGCTTGGCAGGTCAAGGAGGTGAAGCTGACTCTGTGCCGATAGAATTACGTTGTCGATTCGGTTTTGAGGTTGGCGAACGACCCCACTTGATGACTAAATGTGAGTGTGTGTATTTTGGGGTTCTAATAGCTAAAAGGTGGCATTCACTTCAAGAGTTGCCATCGCAGTTAGGTAGTAATAATGAGGGGCTCTCCAATGAGTTTAAGCTACCTGTTGGGAACAGCAAACATAAATTTACATACACACACACACACATACAGACACCTCGACCTATATGAATTTGTTGCTGCTGATGAGTATTGGATGCGCTTTTGAAGTTTGCGTAGCTCGTTAAAAAGTTATTAAAGTGGAAACGCGTTCATCTCAATAGTATCTATGTGGTTGTTGGCAAAATAATTTCATGTTTGCATGTTGAATTTTATAATTCAGTCCAAATTTCGCTTACCTATTCATAGCTAATACTAATTATTTGCTAATCAATTTATATGCCACATATTTTATGAAAAAAACACGCATTTTAAATGCTAAATATTATGGAAACTTTTAATTGCCATTTTGATTTTATTGCACTCATGAAAGCCTCGCTGCACCGGAAATCCATTTGTATATGCCCCACTGAGGACATTGAAGTTAAGCAATGGCAATTTTATGGCCAAAATCGGAAGGCTAAATGGCAATCCTCATGGTAGCCATACACATATTACTTGTATTGTATTTTGTTGTCTGTATTTCGTACGAGTTCACATAAAAACATCACGCATACGCCCTGTTTGTCGCATTGAAAGAGCGCTTATCGTACACAGAAATTCTCAAGCGCATCTGTACACAAAATTATTCATGTGTTGAATGAAATGCATTCAGCTGTATTTTAGCAACTGCGCAATTATTTATATTATATATGTTTTTCCATGTATTATGTTTTTCCATGTAAAAACTTTCTTTTTTTTCAAACTAAATTAAATGAGTTCACAATTAAAGAACAAAGTATAACAACGACAACGACAATGCATTGCACAAAGGAAAGAGTAAAGTAAAGAGTAGGAAAAACAATTTAATTGAAATTTATAAGGTAGGTATTGAGGTAGAATAAGTGCCCCACTCAAGTTTTTGCTCAGGTATGTGCCTATGTAATTGTATTCGTTTGGCTTTTTCGTTATATTGAAACTATTGTTGAGTTTAATTAGGCTGCTTTCAGCTTAAGTTGACACATGAGCAACCCATTCTGCGTTCATTAATAATGCACTCCAGAAACGTTAATAAAATTGTGAGAGTAATTAATAAGATGGCCCAGTCTGGGGTATGGGTTCGGCCTTGTAGCTTGTGGCGCGGCTGATTTATTTACATCTAAGCCAGCCTTAAATTGAACCGAGCAAACAGCAGGAAACTTCAAACGGGCTGGCAGCTTGGTTCATAGTATTGGGCAATTGTTCGGCTGCTGAGTTGGGTCGATCAAAAGTTTGGCATTGACAATGCTTTTCCAGCGCCAAAAGGTTATTCGGGACTGCTCTGAAAAACGAAAAAACGAAACACGACAAAAAAAATGCTCTCTCTTCGGTTGCACGGTTTAATTAGCACAAAAAGGCTGCTTCAGCATAAAGAAAACTCAAACAAATTGGTTTTAAATTTCAACATGAAATAGGTTCACATCCAGCCGCCCAACGTCCTTCGACTTTGCCCAAAGTTAGGCAAAGCACAAGTAATTATGCGCATAAAAGTAGGCAATACTTTTTATTTGTCGATGGCACGACGAATTCGTTTGCCCAGTTCGCAACAAACTTTTAAAGGGTGAATCCCTGTTTTGAATATGCAAAACGTACGTTGATCGCCTTGGCATCTGCCCGATGCAGGGTATATACTTGGCTACTACTCGGCGGCTGTTAAAGCACTTTATTGCTTCGTTTTACTGCCAGTTTTTGCAATGAAAAGTCAATTTTACAAAATTGAAATATAAATTATTGAAGCGTTAATTGATATAACAGCGGGCAGGAGCTGAGCTGGCGGTACGAAATGCAATGAATAGCAGCCACTGGCTAATTTTCCGTTGACAGTTTAAAAGACTACTGGAATATTCATTTATTTTACAGCTCTATGCACTTATACTATGTTTAGTTGAAGTGCTGCAATTTAATTGCTGACAGGCCGTTCGAAAAATGATTCGATTATATTTATCAGATGGGCCGACTCACAGTTCCAAGAAACCTTGTTGGTCGCATATCTGTTTTGGTTTGTGTGTGTGATTTTTTATTTTTCGGGGAAACCTTGAGCATTCCATTAATATTATTCAAAGCAAATTAGGCCTGTCAAATATTTGTACAATTTACTTGCCTCGCCGCGATTGCTCGTTTGTGCGCTTGCTTTCATCAATACCTGGCCGTCTTTCCATCCGGTTTGTCTGCTCAGCTGTCGCTTTAATAATGCAACAACTGTAGCTCTGATCAGCCTGCCGAACATGTGCTCGCCGAGGCATACGATGAATATTCCATTTATAATCAGTAAATAGTAATAACATTAATTTCTTGTTGCTCCTAGCGCATTTCCGTTAACAGCGTCCTATTGGTTTATTAAAATATTAACACTATTTTATGTATGTGATGCTCTGGGCAAACAAAGAGTTTGTGCATACGCCGAGCCTTCGCTGATATTCAATTTTAAATTTATGCGTTTTCATGGCTGAATGTGTTTTGTTGTTACACATACCACAGGCCAGCGAGGGCACAAAGCGACATGGCAGGGAAAGGAAAATGACGAGCATTGGCGACGGGCAACAATGCCAGCACATTTCACACAAATATAAATATTTGCCTTTGCCACATGGAGGCGACAGAGAAACCCAAACAAACTGGGTGCCAGACAGACACCCTCATGAATTTTGCAAACGAATCGCACATGCTGCGTGTGTGGAGCTGGCACCATCGAGCCCCACTGCCAACTTTAGCTGCTTTTCGCATATGTAGACACCAATCGTAAATAAATATTTTGATTTATTGTCTCCTCTAATATTTCCGCACAATTTATGCTCGCAGCTCGAGCATTGGGAAGTCGTATAATTAATATGTTTACCCGGCGTATGCGCTATCTTCATTTCTGCTAGCAATTGTAAAGCATTTGCCACTTGCGCCGTAGAGATGGGACTTAAGGTGCAGACTTGATTCAACTGTTGAATGATATTTTGTGCCTTCGAGTATATTTAAACCTATTTATGAGCTCCTCCATGTATATAATGCCTAGATATTTAATGCCAGATACATGTCCACACTCATAGGAAGTGGATAATCGAGGAAAACTGCTTAAAACATAAAGTTTCCATATGACATCTTTCTTACTCCTAATATACTTTCTTTACAGCAAATATCTATATCAAATTACCTTTAATAGAGAATACATTGATTAACCTACTTTCACGTACTTTCTTTCTTGCTGTGTTAATAATAAAAGACTCTGCGCTGACATTCTTCTTCCATGAGTAATTAATGGTATGCGAATTTGTAATATAATGACAAGCATTGGCAATTTGTAAAGAAGAGAACATATCAAATTAGTTATAGAACGAATCGATCTTTAATTTGATTCAGCCTATGGCTATTTAAAGGCTGACAGATCGAGATCCCATAAACCAGTATACAGAAGATTAAAGACTCGTTATGAAGTTGACTCTACTGATCACATTCTTGATGACAGTCGCTGGCGCAATAGGTATGATTCTTATAAATTCTTTAATCAATGACAAACTATACCTGAATGCTATTTCAATGTAGGTGGTAAGCCGGAATGCTGCAAGCGTGGTTGCCATCTTTTAGAGTGTAGTCAAAAATAAAAATATAGATATTTGCTCAAAGAGTCAAATATATACATATATTGCTTGTCAATATAATGAAAATGTATAAGCTTAAAGAAATCATAATTTCACACAGTATCGCAGTTGTACATCAGGCATAAAGAATCCATTTTGAAATTATCTGTGTGACAGACAGCCAGAACGAATCAAGCATTTGCCAGTTTGACAGCAGGCCTGATTGAGTCGCACAGTTAAAATATTATATAAGATGGCAATGCATAAATCGAGATACTCTGAGCATTGGATTTACCAGATATTTCAACTGTCTGAAGAGTTCAGGAGTAGTTCAAGTGCTGCTACTGTCAACTTTCTGGCCCAAAGGCTCTTTCAGATGCTCGTCGTTTAGCTCTTTTGGTTAAAAACAAATGGCCAAATGACAAAACGTAGAATACCCAACTAACAAACTAGCTGCAAAGGCCGCAAATATGCCGAAACGTTTGGGCATTCGACATGTCAGTTGGCCACAGACGACAGAGGACAGACGACAGTCGGCAATCAGCCAGGCTGGAATTGGAAAGGGATTTGCTTAAGTCCCACACTCGCTACACCCCAGTAGCCCTTGACAGGCGCTTCATTGTCGCTATCATTGTTGTCAAGCGGGCCTGAAAAAGCAAGTTAGGGAACGGCAGAAGGCAACAACTTTACGCACGTTTCTCGTGCATCGTATGTCAACTGTGGTTCGTTTTGCTACACGCTCTACGAGGGCATTCAAATTATCTAACGAAATGTGAAAGAGATGTCTTCGAGTACATAAATTACATCCATCTAGTTCTCATCTGTTAGCGAGCAATATTCATAGCATACAATTATGTTCAAGCCCGTCGAAGGCGTCCAATTTAACATATACGGAATACTAAATCGTTATATAATTCGGCAATTTCAGTTGTTCATGCCGTTTCAATCAATGCTTTATTCAACTATAAGTCTGATTAGCTGTTTTATGTTTACATTAGTTAAGATCTGTTAGAACTAAGCTGTATTTTTAGATAGGGTATAAACTGTTTGGCTTAGTGCTGGAACTCTTCTTTTTTTGATTTTGTTCTTCTTTTTTTTGGCATTCGGTCGGAGCCCCAAATTGATGAAGGGTTTCATTTGATTTGGTTGGTTTGCCATTTTTCTGGTTTCACCGCCTGTTACACTTGTTGTACTTGTGCTGTGTGTGTTGTTGTCGTTGTTAACGCTGTTGCTGTTGTTGTTATTGAAGAGAGCGCTTGGAGCATGTCTCCCTATAGTCACATGCACAATGTCACACTAAGCTTAAATCAACATTGAACATATGCTAGTGTTGAGAAAATGGCTTAAACTTCCATATGGCAATGAGAATGCCTTAAGAAAGGAAAGAGGAAGAAAATCTACCTATACACTTTACCTAGAGTAACAATGAATCAGCATTAATTGTTAGATTATGATTCTACATAATCTTATCTATTTCATCTTTACTTTATTTACGCACTAATTATATGAAGAACAAATTAAATTATAATTAATTTATACGAGAATTAGTAACATTTATTATTACGCAAAATAGGGTATTTGATAGCAGAGTATTTGTTTGTGTTTAACTGAACCAAAAGTGTTGTATGCAGCAATGTACTGAAATTTATATCCTTACAGATTGTGCGATACTGATATTGCACTTCCTTTTGGAATGTTTCTGCATTGAAATGTTTTTTTTTTTAATTTGTAAAATTAATTTTTGTTTCTTTTTGTTGCTTGCTGCTTGAATTCAATCGAATAATTCTAATTTTGACACTAGCAAACGCAAAAATAAATATATTAAATTTTGAAAATAAACTCTTTTATATAAAATAAATATGGAAAATTATAGTTTTTCTGAAAAACATAATTATTTTCAGGTGTAAAGATTGTTGGTCGAACGTCGAAAGTCTGCTAACGTCACACAGAATCTATATATATTACAAATTTAATTTTTAAATTTAGTTATTGTGACCATGCCTCTTTCTGTCTATTAGATACATTCGCTAAAAATATGAGACTTCCAATCAAGGTATATTTCGGCAGAGATGGGTCTGTGACCTGAGATACAAGCGGCAGGTGCATGTATTAGTTATACCTTTGAAGCACACACCCAACTCATGCGCGGAAAAGCCATATTAGCTTGTATTGATTCTCAATGATTTTGTCAAATTTAATGCCAAAACTCACAAAAGCTTGAACTCATCAAGCTTTCCTTAGCCGTCAGTCACTTGTTTCAAACCTTCATAACTTTTTATGACTACATCAACCAGTAACTGAATGAATTGACAAATATGAGCAATGCCAAAATGTATATTTCTAGGGTATATTGTAGTCGATACTGCTGCAGAAGTCACTTTTGTTGTAATGCAATTTCACATTCAACCGTAACGAACTTTACCAGCCAAAACTTAACGCATCTGTTGCCACTTGCAACCTGCTGTTGCAATGCTTTTACATATTGCAGTAACAGTTACAACCTGTAGATGGCGCTGCCTTCTGGGCCACGTATGCAAATGTGCCAGCGCTGGCTCATTGAAATCAATTTCGCATGAAGGCAAAGATTCAAATGGCGCCATATGAGATCCACATGCAAGTGCAACACACGTTGCCAGCGGTTAAATGAACCGGAAGTGTTTTATGCAGCAAAAGATGCAATTATTTATATGTGTGTACATAGTCTGTGCGAGTGTGGGTGTGCACACACACACACACATATATATACATGTATATATGTATTTTGCACTATTTGTGTTTGTGTTCGCCTGGGCAAATGCCAACAAACGTGCAGAGCTTTTGGCATTTGCATGCAAGCGCGCAAATATGAGAAGCCAAGTCCAATCCTCCATTTAGTGGGTAGCTGCCACTTTAATACCCTGTACGGAATGGTAGTAAAGGCCATATGGATTCAGTTGTTTTTAAGGCAATTTTGCAGTAATTAATTTTGTGTTCAACAATGATTAATTAACTGTTAAACAAATTGATCAGCAATGGAAAATTCTCTGTAGATCTGAACTGACTACTAGATGCTAATCTCTTGCGTCTACAAGTTTTTAGTCTAGGATAATTCTAGCCCAGCTTACCCCGCTAAGGTACACTTAGTTGATAATTCTGCAATTTTGCTTTCTATGCGCATCGTGCTCATTCCACTCGTCGCCTCTATGCCCTGGGTAGATAGAGATGGCCTGCGTTGCACTTAAGTGCTTCAGCGCTTTGTGTGGCATTGTGTTTGGTTGGCAGAGCAGCTCTGCTAAACGGCTGCCGGACAGACGTGCCAGCCTCCAGCTAAAAGTCATTAGTTGCAGTCAAAGTACACAGGACGCTGGACAACAGTTGGACAACGGCTCACTGCTGTCTGACGATGATTTCCACTGTGGCAGCGCTTTTCTTTCTTCTCAAATGGAATGTGCGCTGCATACTCGCTATTTAATTTGCTAATGTGCCAGAAACAAACAAAAATGCATCTGCGCTGTGAAAAGAACAACAGCAGCTCGCAGAAGCAAACTATGAATATATATTTGTTATGTTAAAGACTTAAGACATTTAAATGGTTCTTGTTTCGTTTCTATTTGACTTTTATGACATCGAGCGATTAAGTGGAGTTAAGTAGAATGCTGAATAGCAACTGGTAGAGTTTAAGTAATATATTGGGCTTATACTAATTATAATAAGGATAAACTATGTTCATGAGATATGTAATAAAGAACCAGTCTTGAGATTGTAATCGTTAAAGTCCTCTGTCTGATAGATAATAATTTAGATAATTATTTAAAAAGTAATGCAGAAAACTACATACAATATTACTTATATAACTATATACAAATTGATTTATAATTTAAATTCTAAATTAATTCTTTGCAGCTAAGTGATATATTCCTCTGTAGCTTGGTGACTGTGGATTGCAAGTTCGATAATACAATTTTCTAAAATTTCACAAATTTCAAACAAAATTTGTTTCAGCAGCAGCTGACTATATAATTTCTTCTTGATCGATGCCACTATACAGACAGAATATACAATATTTGAACTACATGTATCTCTGGGTAATAATAAATATATAGCTATATGTACTTTAAAGGTGGACCCCACCAATGCGTACAAGTTTCTTGCAAATTCAAGTTAATTTTATAACTCTTAATGTTCATAAAATGTTCATTTATTTTACTGCAACTTAGTTATAAAACTACTTATCTCAAAGTCATATACTGAATTTCAACTTCGCACACTGTCAGACTTTACTTGCTGTGGAACAACTACTTACAGAAAACTTAAAACTTGCAGCATATTTTGAGGCAATTTTTCATGTGCGATTCGTAAGTTTTTACAGAATGCTCAAATGTAAACTAATTTTAAAATAAATTAAATTTATGTTGTTTTTAATTATATGTTAAGATTACTTTTCTACACTCAAAGGGAAGGATCACTGCGTGGAATTGTTGAGCGCTGCTTGTCAGTTCTCTCAACTTCCAAGTTGCTTCATCACAACGTTGGATGACTTAAGCCTATTAATAATCGAATGGCAAATTTGTTTAAATATTTCAATGCACGAATGTTTTCGATAACTTTAACATCTGGTAAAATATAGTTATCGAAAGTAGTTTCTCTCTCGTTTGGCCAACAGCTTGTTCCTTATCGATTTAGTTAAGTATACGCAGTTGACTTAACTTTTCACTTTGAGAACATTAAGGCAGAAGCTTAATTAGTTAAAGTCTTTAGTTAATACTTGTTGTCAAAGTTGTAATTGCAACATGACAGCCCGCTCCATCCACAGCTATCGAAGTGCACCTAATCGAACGAAATTCCATTGACTATAGTCAATTGAAAAGTTTCCCATTTTCATTTTTTCTTTTGCTTTGACTTAAGTTTAATCCATGGACTATATCGGCTAACTTGTCACAAGTTTTCCTCTTTTCTTATTTTCCTCTCCTGTTTTTGAGTGACATTTTTCGCACCGAAACTTTTGTTCAACGCAACTTCAACAATGTTTTGCCCTCCTCATCCTTCGT